TCTCTCTCTCTCTCTCTCGTTGCGAGACGGATGCAGCGTCTCTCACGCGGCAAGAATGAAGTCTGGGGGTCCTCTGCGCAACGGTCACACTGGATGATCTCCTTCTGCAGTTGATCAATACGTTGCTGCAATGTCCTGGCCCGGTCAACCCAAACGTCCGCGAGTTGGGTCCAATAATGTGGCTGGCTTCACCTACCCAATGTGGTCAAGGGGCCTTTCTCCCAGCAAAAAGAAATGGATGTGAAACCAGTGCTCCTTTCAATGATTGTGGGCGCCAAGTCCGGTTGCTAAGTTGGGAAAACCCATGAACATCCTGTTCTTCAGCTGCAGGCGGATTGGGTGGATACAGTAACCTCCAAAGGCTATAGGTTCGGAACCGTGCAGGAATGCTAAAGTTGCCTCTCTACACATAGTCTCCACAGTAGTATAGACAGTTTTTGATGATCAACCTCTATAGTTGTTTCCCCCTCCTCCATGCGGTTCACCAAACAGAACTCTCAGGAAGGCCCGTTGGTAGAGCCCCATTGGTTCATCCAGAGGTTCCTGGCCATCGGTGGGGCTTTTCGGCGAAACTCGCATCTCGGCTTCCCAGCTGCACGGCGACTTCATGCTGCTGGTTCCGCCTGCCCGACGGGGCTGCTAAGAAGATGCTTTTCGGTACCTCTCCTCGCCATGGACACCCAGGTTAATTGGGTGTTAGTTGATTAATAAACGCACCCATAATGTATTTTTCCTGCACAGATTAATAATAGAGGTCCCCAGAATCATGTCTTTTTGTTTGGGGAGGGATGGTTGTAGTGGGATATGTTTTATTGTTATGAATTAATATTGTCCCTTTGGGGTTTACTGGGATCTAGTCATTCCAGAGGCCTTTGGATGGATATTTAAGCAGATTTCATCAGATTTCTATGAAATTTCTGTAGATTTCCAGATGTCTTCAAAGTTAGGTTTCTTGATTCCTGTCATTTTAGTATTGCCAGAGTAGCTCCAGAGGCAGCTAAGTAAGGATTATTTATTTATTTATTTACTGTATCAATTGATTGGTTTTCTTGTATACTATTTTGGAGGCCTTGGTTGTTGGGGGGGGGTTGATTAATCAAGAGTCGACATGAAATTTTCCAAACACTCCAGTCTGGGACTGCAGTCCTGGCAGTCCCAGACTGGTCGTGTCTCCTTTGACCGGACCAAGCCACTCCGTCCGGGTCCCGGGGGACCTCGGTCCGACTTCGGTCCCATACTGGAGGTCTCCAGTGTCCACCAAGCCACTGGAGTCACTATAGAATATTCAAGCCGCTCCACCAAACCAATTTTTTCCTCTTCGTGTTC